GGGAGGGAGGGAAGGAAGGAAGGAAAGAAAAGAAGGAAGGAAAGAGAGGAGAAGAGAAGAGAAAGGGAGGGAGAGAGGGAGGGAGGGAAGGAAGGAAAGGGAGGGAGGAAGGGAGGAAAGTGAGGAAGGGAGGGGAGGAAGGAAGGAGAGGCGGGAGGGAGGGAAGGAAGGAAGGAAGGAAGGAAGGAAGGAAGGAAGGAAGGAAATTGAATTCTAAATTGTTTACCAAGTTGTGTATCCTCCAACATACACTCATACATTAAAACCTGGTTTAGAAATCACATCAAGGAATTGGGGCTCAAGCCTTCATTCTCACACACAGAAAACCGGGAAAAACATCCCATTTTCAAATTTGGCACTAAAAATTGATGGGAAAATTTAGCCTATTTTTGCACCAGAGGAAAGAGTTAATTAAGGGTGCTTTGCTTCCCAAAGATGAACCCAGAATGTCTCGTCTTGAAGACTCTTGCTCTAATGTCACGGTGAAATCTTGCAACCAACCGAAAGATCAGATTATCCCCCAAACATTCTGCATCCTTGGACTAAACCCAAGCAAATCAACCTCAGCTGGGAAACTGCCCCATATTTCCACTACTTGCCATCACAACGCCATACCCTGGAATGGCTTCAGCTGCTTACCCAGGGATGCCGGCAGATTCCATGCGGTTGGCTAAGGAGACATCATGAGACCACACATCGTACTGCCATTTCCGAAGTCCGATCACCCCACAAAGTACGTTTCCGGAATGAATGCCAACTCGCATATTGATGTCCACCCCCGTGGCTTCCCTTACTTGCCTGCAAAAATAAAAAAAAATAAAAAATTATAAGTGCTCCAGTGTGGAAGACAAGATGGAAAGTCGTTTGATTGTCCCTTCTCTAGACAGGCATGGGCTTAATTGGTTCGCGACTCTCCGAGACTCCTTGCCAAGTTTTGCAGATATCGGCCTGGCAGCTCTCCAAGACAGATAAGGTCTGTGACTGTAAATCCTCCCTTGAAAGACTTTGCCGGATGTGAAAGGGCAGAATTCACAGTCAATTAATAAAAGAGGTTTTTTGTCGGGACAAGGAGTTTGCTTCAGGCTCTTGAGAAGCCTCGGTCAGAACAGCTGGCTGAGGAATTCTGGAAGTTGAAGTCAACAAGTCTTAAAGTTGCCACGAAAGATTAAATCAGTGTAAACTAACTGCACAACTCCTTGATTTTACATCTGGATATTTAACAGAGCAATAAATATAAAAAACTGCACTGGTACAATCACAGGAGGAAGAAATTTTCTCCTTTCAGAGGATTACAAGACCCTATTATTATCTATCATACTGCTACATTATATATTCCGGCATCACCACTCCTAATTTACTAACTCTTTTTAAAGTACCTACTTTATCGCTTCACACATGTCGAGGCCCATTTTCACACAGTTTTTGGCATGTATCGGCAAGGACACAGGTAAGCCCGAGACGCAATAATAACAGTCTCCCAATATTTTGATCCTCATGCATTCATTTTCCTACAAAACAAAACACACAAAAAAATAGCCCATGAGTCACTGAGCATGGCAAATATGAATTAACCGGCATTTTTTTTTTAAGCAGTGCAAATTATAGGCTTTTTTGCAGGGAGAAAACAGATCAGCTGTCATCTCTTCATCCGAAGTAAGACTTTTCTGTATTCCCAAAAAAATAACGGGGGGAGGCGCAGGGTGGTTCATTTGCAATTTATCTGGGGTTCAAGCCAGTGGTGAGATTCAAATAATTTAAGATTCAAACCCAGGGTCAGGTTGACTGTCTTGGGAGGTATGACCCATCCCCGTCCTCCGGTTCACCGACAAATGCGTGCTGGACAAAAGCGCGCCGCCGAAACCGCGGGAAAAAACCCTTTTGTCGGCGCACCTTTGTGGGCGCGTTGTCGACGTCACGGTTTTATCGCCGCAATTTTGTCGACGCACTGTTGTCGGGCGCGCATTTGTCGGGTCACGCCGTGCTTCAATTCTGCCACATGTGACTCCAGTGATTGCAAACCTGAGCCTTATTTTCTAGACCAGTGGTGGGATTCAGCCGGTTCGCACTGGTTCAGTTGAACTGGTTGTTAAATAACCCCCACCCCGCTATCAAAGTGGATCCTGGGCGCTGCGTTGCAATAGAGAAATGAGAAAACAGAGCGGCTGGTACACGGGAAAGAGGAAAGCGATTTTCTCCTTCCCTCATGCTGGCCGCTCCATTGCCCATTTCTTCATTGCAGCACAGCGCCCAGGATCCATTTTGATAGCGGGGTGGGAGTAATTTAAAAACCAGTTCGACTGTACCAGCGCGAACCGGCTGAATCCCACTATTAGTTCAAGCACAGAGAATGCAAGGCAGTTACAGTCACTTACAGCCATTCGTTGAGAAGTGACAACAGCAGTGGAAAATCTTGCTGGCTGCCTCAAGCAAATTTAAAATTATCCACATGCAGCCAATGACTGTTATATAGGTAGTCCTCAACTTACAACAAGTTCGTTTAGTGACTGTTCCAAGTTACAACGGCACTGAAAAAAGTCACCCATGACCATTTTTCACACTTACAACCTGCGGTCCCGTGATCAAAATTCAAGTGATTAGAACTGGTTCATATTTATGACGGTTTCCAGAGGTCCTGTGATTCCCTTTTGCGACCTTCTGACCAGCAAAGTCGAAAAGGAAGCCACAGTGGCTAAACAGCCATGTTCCTAACTTAACTGCAGCGATTCAGTTAACAAATGTTGCAACAAAAGTCGTAAAGTGGGGCAAAACATCATGTAACAAAAGTTTCGCTTAGCAACATAAATGTTGGGGTCCTTTGTGGTCGTAAGTGGAGGGGGTACCTGTACTGCCAAACTATGCGACACCGTGATTTTTAAACGGATAGCTTATTAAACCATGCACAAGGTTGTTGTGAGACTGCACAATAAAAAAATAAATACCATATTTTACGGAGTATAAGACGCACCTTTTTCCCTCAAAAAAGAGGCTGAAAATCTGAGTGCATCTTATACACTGAATACAGCATGTTTTTGGCTCCTGAAACCCTGCCTCTTCACCAAAATAGCCATGCATAACCTTTAGGAGGCTTTTAGAGAGCTCCTGGGGGCTGGGGAGGGCAGAAATGAGTGAAAAATGGGTCAGGTTTTTTTGCTCAATTTTGTCCCCCCCACCCCCCAGGAGCACTCTATAAGCTTCCTAAATGCTCTGCATTTGGGGGGGGGGAATGGGCCTGTTTTCGTAAAAACCAGCCTGTTTTTTGCTCATTTTGGGGGGGCGGGCACCCCCCAGGAGCACTCTACAAGCCTCCTAAAGGCTATTCATGCCCGTTTTTTGACAAAAAATGGGCCCATTTTCACGAAAAATGGGGCATTTTTGGGAGGTCTGAAGAGTGCAAAAACTTCTTTAAAAAATTTGCCTCTTCAAAATCTTGGTGCGTCCTATACTCCCAAAAATATAGTAATGCTTGTTTTACCAACCAGAATGTCTACAGTCACTCAATAGGTGACTTGTTTTCTCAACATCGACAACTTGAAAATGTGGGGAATTTCAATTCCCAGAATTGACTCACCTTTGCAATCTGGTCAAATTTCCCAAAGAGTTCATTCAACATTACCACTAGCTCCTTTGGAGAACAGTCACTTGCCAAGCGAGTGAATCCTACGATGTCTGCATACAGGATACTAAAGGAAGGAGAAAAACAAATATGATAGTCTGGGATTGCTCTATGCGGAGTCCAACTTGAAGAAGCTGTCATCCCTTCAAGGAAACCTCAAGAACTTGGTGGCCTCTTTAAAATACTGACCCCAGAGGGAAATGCGAGTCTCGGAAATTGTCAGAGCGTTTGCAGCATGACTACTATTAGGGGGCAACCCAGGAGCAAAACACGGCACACAGAGACTTAGACGTTTAATAGTGGTTTATATACAAGACATATACAGAAATACACGTGGTAGTCAAATACCTGACAAGCAAGCAATCTTCTTCTTAACACTACATGGAGAACTTAGCAATGGATACTGGACACAAGGAGAGAGATACACGAAGAGAGAGAGAGAGAGATACGCCCTCTCTGGCCTCCTTTATATAAACAGCTTCTTAAAGTGGCAATAACCCAGCTTCTTAAAGTGGCGATGCCTCTGCTGACTCATCCTCATTTCATCATCTTAATTTACAGCCTTACATGGGCTGGTCCGCTTTAAATCATCAGAAATCATCTTACAGAAATCCAAAAATTTACCTGACATTCTGGTGCCGTTTCACATACAGGTTGTGGAAATTATTATCATGCTTTTTCATATCGTTGGTTTCTTTTAGACGCTCGATGATGGCAAGTTTCATTCCCATAGATATGTGAGCTGGCAGGATTGACAGAAGCAAGCTTTCCTTGGAGCAAAGAAGAAGGTTTGAATTGTTCAAAGCATGAAGTGATCTCAAACCAAAGGAGGAGGAAGGAAAGACGGTTGCAAGAGCAACCTAAGACATCTAATAAACCTAACTCTAACTAATAAGAGCAAATCCCCGCCTTCGTTAAGTTCATTAATTAGACCATGCAGTGTTCCTTCATTCACTTAGTGCTTCCATCAAATGTTGGCAATTCAACTTGAATGCTTGCAAATCTGTGCAAAAGCACACATTTGTTTGCAAATGTTCCACTTATAATCATGTTTTCCAGAGAGGTCTCCGGGCTGTTCAGGAATTATTCTAGAATAATATTCACGAATATTTCTGAGTTTTCATTTTAATGGCTGCCCAGGAGGCAGCAATATGGCTTGCCGAACCTGGAACGAAGGAGAATATCTGTAGCTCAGCGTTGAACTGTGGGCTGCTTGGTGGTCTCTTGAGCTGGATTCTTTTCTTGTGGATGTTTCCTAACCCAACTAGGTAACATCATCAGTGCTAGAAGGGAATTGAGGTTTATGGAGAGGAAGAGGAGGAGGAGGTAGAGGAGGAAGACTGTGAGGTCCTTGGATCTGTCTGAGCTTTGTTGTTTTCTTGCAGATGTCTTATTACCCAACTAGGTAACATCATCAGTTCTAGAGGGGAGTGGGATTCACTACTGATGATGTTACCCATTTTGGGTAATGAAACATCTGCAAGAAAACAACCAAACTCGGAGAGCAACAAGAAGCCCACAGTCGCTCCTGCTCCTGCTCCTCCTCCTCCTCCTCCTCTCCACAAACCCCACTCCTTCTAGCACTGATAATGTTCCATAGTTGGGTAATGAAATGTCTGCAAGAAAACAAGCAAGCTCAGAAAGCATCAAGGACCCCCACAGTCATCCCTCCTCCTCCTCCTCCTCCTCTTCCTCCTCCTCCTCCTCCTCTCCACAAATCCCACTCCTTCTAGCACTGATAATGTTCCATAGTTGGGTAATGAAATGCCTGCAAGAAAACAAGCAAGCTCAGAAAGCATCAAGGACCCCCACAGTCATCCCTCCTCCTTCCTCCTCCTCCTCCTCCTCCTCCTCTCCACAAACCCCACTCCTTCTAGCACTGATAACGTTACATAGTTGGGTAATGAGACGCCTGCAAGAAAACAACCAAGCTCAGAGAGCACCGAGTGAACCTGGAATGAGTGATGTGCTGCCCGAAATAAATTATCTGCATGTTAATAATGGCCTCTTAATAATTAACCGCGCAGGGGAAAAAAACATGTGCTATTTTTATGGTTGGATATCCACCTTACCTGTTGCCTTTTTTCAATTTTCAATTTCATCTGGACTTGGATGCATTTTAAGGTATAGCGGTACAGATCCCAGGAGGCGTCTTGCACTTGATGCTTGTGGTACGCCCCCAGCAAATTGCCACAAAGGAAAATGAAAGCATTCGCCACCAGCTGGGTAAAAGAAAGAAAACCATACCGTTACGATAGGCTGCTTTTTGCAGCAGGCACAAGATTCTTCCTAACCACCTCTTACTGAACAAGCCATAATGGCTCATCGGCACAGAATGCTGGGCTAAAAGCGAGGGGCACCAGAAATAATAACAATTGGACGCAGCTAAACAAAGAACCCTTTCTTCTTCCAATTTTGCAATAGGAAAGCTTTAACCTATTTGTTCTTCTTCCCCATCCATTCCTCCCCAAGACTTTTTTTTCCAGAGAAAGTGCCTTCTACCATCTCTTCCGCAATTGCTGTTTTAACCAATTTTCCACAAAATGCTCCATTCGTTTCTTAAATCCATCCCATTCATTTGTTAAACTCATCCCACCGACCACCAAGGTAGTCTACAGTGAAAAAAAATTCAAATGAAAGTGAAGACCGGAATACTATCAATAAAGACAAAAAACAGAGGGAGTGTATGTGTAGACCAGGGGTGTCAAACTCAAAGCCCGTGGGCCGAATCTGGCCCACAAGGTGCTTAGATCTGGCCCGCAGGGCCACCCTGGAAACAGCGAAGGACTGGCCTGCGGTGCCTCTGTCAGCGAAAGGAGGGCCATGTGCAGCTTGGGAAGGCTTTGAACAGACCTCCCGAGCTCTGTTTTCAACTGCAACAGCCTCCTGCAGCACTCTGCCAGCGAAAACGGAACTTGGAAGGGCCGTGTGCAGCCCTCCCGAGCTCCGTTTTCAGCTGCAACGGCCTCCTGCAGCGCTCTGCCAGTGAAAACGTAACTTGGAAGGGCCGTGTGCAGCCCTCCCGAGCTCCGTTTTCAGCTGCAACGGCCTCCTGCAGCGCTCTGCCAGTGAAAACGTAACTTGGAAGGGCCGTGTGCAGCCCTCCCGAGCTCCGTTTTCAGCTGCAACGGCCTCCT